TTTGATTAAAATTATCTCAACTAAATTATCAGTTATTTAAAATATATTTTTAAAAATATATCTGATAATTAATTAATCATCATTCAGATCTTAAAAGACGAATAATATTTATTACGAAATATAATCTATATATATATATATATATAGGTGTATGTGTGTGTGTGTACTCAGAGGTGACGGAAGTATCGATAAGATAATACTTATTTTTAAGATATGTTATCAAAGTGCTAACATTGATCAATTAATTTCATTAAAATGAACCATCATACACGACACGTGTTTATGTTAATAATCTTACAGATTATATTTCTCTTTCATACCCCCTTTTATTAACCAACTAACTAATCATAGATATTCCCTATTTTTTAAATTAGATAACAAACAATAAGCTCACAGATGTGACTCAACCCTCATTAACAAAAAAAAAAACCAATTCCTATTGACTTGTATTACTCACAAACTTTTACATGTGTCTAAAAAAACATGGATTACCTAAAGAATTAAAAAAAAAATCCATTTATCTATTACAATAATTCATAGAATCCTGTCCCATTAACCTGTATTACCTATAAACATTTGACATATCTCTAAAAAAACCATGGATGACCTAAAGAATTAAAAAAAAATCATTTACCTATTACAATAAGTCATAGAATCCTAAAAATAATATCATCCGTTTATTGGTGACGTTTATTGGTTTAGAAAAATTGGGAATTGCAAAAATATTTCATTGTTTTATTTCTTGTAAGTTATCCACCAAGTTCGCATATACCTGGTGACCTCTTTACATAGTATTACATTACACGACATTGCCCTGTGTGGCCTGTGTTGTAGCTTTACATACGCAAGCAAGCAAGCGCGCATGCTAACACAAAGCCACCCGTTCCTCAGCCCGTTTATCTCAGCGCGTTTATCTCGGCGCGTCTACAACGGCACGTTTATCAACGGTAATAAATGAGACAGTTAAACAAAGAGACTCCTACCCTTCTGTGCCCCTCAACCCCCCTTGTATTCCTATCCCCTATCCCTTTTCAAACTACCACTATCACTATTCGTACCCCCTCCTACTCCTACTCCTCCTCTTTACACCCACAATCCCGTTTCCCTGTTTTTACTTCAACAAGCCAAGTTTTCTCTCTCTCTCTCTCTCTCTCATAGTTCTGCTTGCTAGCTTTATGGGATTTTAACAAAAGGACAAGATTTTGACGTTAAGATTATCATCACACCCTCTGATGGATTTTTATTTTATTGTTAATAATATTATTGTCATTTTTGTTTTCAGCCCAGACCAGGTAGAAGGTCTCGTGGTCGTCCGGGAAACAACACAGCACAATTGCAAACAACGCCAAGAGTTCAGAGTCCAATTTCACAGCATTTGGAGAAAGGTATTTTGTTATTTGATTTAAATGTTGGAATTTAATTATAAGTTAACACACAAGAGTTGCATATTTTTTGGTGTCTTTCACTTCAAAGGTTAAACTTTAACGTATTCAAAATACGCAGAAAAGTTCCAAGATACCAGTTTGATTTTTGTTTTTCAGTAAAAACATTTTAGAAACTGGTCCAAGTTTTCAAGTTTCACGTTTGATAGTTTCAAAGTGAAAAATAAGTATAATCTTACGTATAATCATTTTGATGTTTCCGGTTAGGAAATAAAATATAAGTCAAAGTTTATCGCTGTTTAAATATCGATGAAAATAAGTGGGATAGCAATGGAACACATATGTGTTTGTCGGAATAAACTAAGTATAGGATTGAAGGGGTTTTAAAGTTGAGGAGTGTTGGAATAAAATGGGGTTGCTTTGTGGGTGGAAATGAGGTTGGGAGTTTGAGATGGGATAAACGACGTTAGATCGATTTGAGAAAAGCAAACTGTGTGTTGGATAAAAGGAGATACTAGGAAGAAGAGGAGAAAGAGGTGGACGAGGAGGAGGAGGAGGAGGAGGAGGAGGAGTTGGAGAAGGAGAGTAGAACCCGACCCAATGTCCAGGTCTCTCTTCGGCGTGTGGTCGATGAAGCGAGGTCAAACGGGGTCGTTGAGAGTTGGGTTGCGCGATCGACCCAGGCAAAGGTCAGACGAAGACATACCATTGGACTAAACCCCTCCCCTTCTGAGGGAGGAGGAGATGGAAGGGGGAGGAGGTCTCTTATGAGACGGTTAGAGTCAGAGGGGGGGTTCCATTAACTTGCTTCTGGAATTTAACGGAAGAATCTATTGGAGAAGAAGTTTAGGTGTGTTGATGTTGGTGAGAAAGGATATCATGGTTGGGTAAGGGTGAGAAGAAGAAGGGTCTGGAGAAGGGGAAAAGTGTGGGCTGAGTTTGGAATGATTTCGAGAGGGAAAGCGGACGACGAAATGGTCTTTCTCTCTCGTTCTGCACGATATAAATGAAACAGAACGAGAAAGAAGACATAGAACTATACAGGGTCAGACTGTCTACTATGTAGTGGTGTTAGTAGTTGTAGTAGTGCCATGCTGGCAGTTGGGGGTAAGGGAAATGATTCGAGGAACTACTCCAGAGAAAACCGGTCCACAAACAAAAGGTTCCTCCTCCTATTGGACTGTCCTTTTTCTTTCTTTTCTCTGCCCCTTCTTTTACTTGGAGTAAAGAAAAAAAATGGGGGAATGGGTTTGAAAATAAAATGAAGGAAACAAGATGAAGAAGAAGTTGAACGGGGGCTGATTCAGGTAGACCCAAAAGGGCTGGGGGAGTGGTCTTCTTGCCCAACATGTAACGTGGATACTCTTCTTCTTCTTCTTCTTCTTCTTCTTCTTATTTTACTGGAGTCCTTTGTTCACGGCTGGAACTTCTCTCCTTTCTTTCCTTTTCTTTTCTCTAATCGCACCACCATTCTCACCTTACTTTTTTTTTTCTTGTTCCTTTATTTATTTCAAACTCGTTTGGTAGTATTAGTAGTTTTTATTTTGTTCGGTTTCACCTTTTAAAGTTAAATCTGTGCAACTGTTCCTATTCCATAAACCATTTCCCATTTAGAAATCTTTAAAATCTACAAGTGATTTTTCTCTATTCGATTTTCATCATCATTCATCGTTCCTCCTTTTCTTCGTCAGTTTATAACACAGTCAAAAAAAAAAAAATAATAATAATAAAAAGAAGAAGAAGAAGAGTAATAAAGTAACAAAATCCTCTTGAAACGGGAAGTCCCTTTGATGTGATTCCAGTTTTCTACTTTTTCTTCTTCTTTTTCTTTTTCATTTTCTTCGTCGGCATAATTCCTCAACTTGTCCCGCCTTCCTTCTATACCCTCTTTCTGTTACCGCAGTTTCTCATACCTGTGTCTGTGTGCATGTGTATATGTCAGCTTGCAACCCATATACTCGTCCACTTTTCTTTTCTCTTTTTTTTTAAGCTCTCTTTCTTGCTCAGCCTCGCAAAAATAAACGGCAGTGGGTATGAAGCTCGTGTCGGGTGACACATTGCTGAAAATACATTCACCCCTTTCCCCCTCCTACCTACCCTTTTTCCTTCTTTCTCACTCGGTCTCATTTTTTTTTTCTTTCTTTTCCCCTAGCAGCACCACTTGGAACTACTACGAAGTAGTTGATACTCAGTGATAATTACCGTGGAAGGGTGAAAAGGAAACGTTTCGTCTATTTGTGGATGTTACATAGACCCATACATACACACAGACAGTCAGACAGAGAGACACATAAAAAGAAACGGAGGATAGAAAAGCAGACTTGGACCCAATTACACGATAGATGCCGTGTGGTACGTTCATTCGTCTCTATAGCAGGAAATGACTGCTCTCATTCGTTCATCTTTTTCCTGCTAACTATGCAGACGTTATCACGTGTGGAACGTTTCAGTAATAATCAAAGATGATCTTTCAAAACTGTCTGAACGAAATAGTTCGAATCTATCTGACTCCCTATCAGAATTCTTGCAACTTGTTTTTGTATTTATCAGCAGTTAGTTACTTTCAGTATCAATGTAAAGCTCACCTAATTTTAATGATACATTCCCTAGCAATTATGTATTACTCTCTTTCTGTCTGTTCATATCCATCATCATCGAGTAGCGTGTGATTTGTTAGAGAGATGACACAACATGAGAAATAGTAGTAGTATTGGTCTAGCCAACTAATCATCGATCATCATAGATCGATGATTGGATTCTTCCAGGCCAATGAACTCAATAAGAATCCAAAGTCATCCACCTGGTGATACGAATGGTAATAACAGTCCTAGTAATAGTAGTGGTGCTTTAATCAACTAGATAACAGTTAGGATCCCTGTGCTAATTATTCGCTAGTTATGCACTAGATTCCAATGAACCTGATCATTGATGTCATAGTCAAACTATCAATCTCTTTTTATCTTTCACGCACGGCGTCAACCCAACAAATCAATCCAACCTTCCTCCCTTCCTTCCTTCTATACTTCTTTGTGTGCTGTTGTGTCATTTCATCGGTTAGGTGCACTGTAGTTCTCTTTACTTTTCTACGAAGCATTGAAGAGTCTCGTTCAGTTGAAGAAAGAAAGACAAGGAAAGAGTTTCAAGCAAAAGGGGGAACTCGCTACTGGTTATACGGCTTGGCAGTTGGCCAATCCTGATCCAAAGTTCCCGTCGAGACACGTTTTTCTTCTTTTTACTTCTCCGGTTTCTTCCTCACTCTCTTTTTCTATCTTTCTCAATTCGTCTTCGTTCTTTTGGACTTTTCAAAGTCAGTGCTGTGTTCTAACGTTGTCCATCCCTCTCTTTCTATACTTTCTCTACCCATACGTCTACATCAACCTATTTATCTCTCAAACTTCTTATTTTTCTTATTCTATTTCTCTTCTAAACGAACAGAGAAATGTGCAAGCTTGAGGTACATTCAGGTCTTCCAAGAAATGCATCATCAGTGTTCTGATGTTGTTGATCTTTCTAACGGGATTTCTCACCTGGGTTACTTAAAACGTCATTTTTCAATTGACCACCTTTAATGTTCATTGCAAATGAATTGTTTTGAACAACTAGGACAAATTGTGTATTCATGTTTTTCAACACAATTTTGTATTATATTATTTAATATAAATAATGAGATTATTTATTCATTATTTCCGATTGATGCTTATAAACAGAAACGAGTCATTGATGATTCCAATCGAGTATCAATTGGAAAAGCTAATTCGCGTTTGTTTCGTATATAGAACAACACACATAAATATAGAACACTGTGAGTTACACGTGCGATGGATTAAAACATTGTTCGTGGGTTGAATACTTGATATATATGTTTAACGTTACGTGCGAGTTATGCCAGTTCAATTAAACGCGACACGCAAGCGTTTTCAATGTGTGAGATATTTTTTTTTTTCATTGCAACATACACGTTTTTTTTTCTATCAATTGTTTCCTAGTTTCACATCCTGATATTAACACTATGCCGTCCGCACATCTATAATTTTTGTATGGCACCAACGTGGAGCCACCGGACGTCATAGTGTTAATTGGAATATTTAAATTATTGTCAATCTCATTTTAGGTTATCTACATTTGGGATTTGTTCTGACGGTAAATTTGTTTAGGAATAGAAATTGTCTATTCATGACAATCGTATGAACCAAAACCCCGAAGAGTACGGTGATGATTTAACAATTAAATCAATAGGTCCAATCGTCAAATACAAAATAGTCGAGCGTGTATTTGTTCATGGTGTGCTATTTACTATGCGGTTTACTGATCATGGGAACGTTCATTTGCGCAACATTCATTATTGGTTATCAGTAATTCCAAATTGACTGCAACATGTTGAACACCCAAAGACACAATGGTCCTTTAACGTACAGCATGCTGTAATTATTGGTCTTTCTACTTCATTGATCTAAATTACTACGACAATATATTCTAGCTTTGCTTTTATTAGAAATACATTGTACCTCTTTTCCAGGAAACCATCATTGTTAATGTATGATACATGACAAACAATATTCCATTCCAATATGATGGCTATTGTCAAAAAGTTGATTGAACATATTGGAAAGATAACTTTGAGGTTAGGGTTTATTCTTCAGATATTATCTTAAGTTATATTTCCATTTAATGGAGAGGGAGTTTATTGTTCGCAATCGTAAACAACAAATAATATTAAATAAAACATTTCAACAAAAGTAAAATAAAAAATATAATAAACTTAACGTAACAAAAGTCAAAACCCATTTTCTGTAGGTACACATATACCAACGTCAGCAACTCCTGTGCAATAATACGAAATACCGTGTATAAAATGGTTCGACATAAAAAAAATCCTATATTGCAATAGGAAATGTAAGAAGAATATAAAAAAGAATAAAAAAAAATTTATATGAAATAAAAAAAAAAAAGAACACTTGCATTTCGATGGCTGCCGGGCGCAACAGCAGCAGCAGCAGCGTCCT